GAAGGTGGGGTCGCCGAGAGAAGCTGCCAACATTGGGCCAACATCTGGAGTCACTGTACATCTGGAGTCACTGTTCAGATGGCGTGGGGCTTAAGGAGCCTGGTCACAGGGTGGGTGCCTGCTGCTTGGGTCGAGGAAGCAGGTGTGGGCCTTTCAGATTCCTCTCCCCTAAGTATCTTTGCTCGCTCAGCTCCTCAAGCCCGGCAGGAAAGGGAGGAGATTTCCTGTCCTCCCGTAGAAGACACAGGCTCAGGAGGTGAAAGGGCCTTCCCAAAGCCCACAGCCAGGAAGACCTGGCTCTCAGCCCACCTCTCGCCGGAGCCCTGCCCTGTGTAGACCTCCTGACTGCCCAGGGCCCCCACCCAGGGAAGGACAGCTGGTCCCCAGCAGCTGCCCAGAGCTTCCTCACTCCTCTGGCTCCTGCCGTCTGCCCTTCTTCCAGACTCCCCTGGAGCAGATCACTACTCTGAGCTTCCATGACTTCCAAGATGAGGAGGGTGGAGGAAGCCTCCATCAGAGCTTCCCTTACCTCAGCCCCATCCACCCCACCCCACCCCACCCTTAACTAAGACTGCATTCAAAATTACTTCCGACTCAGATCAGCCACTGGTCAAGTAACTTAACTCCGTCGTGAATAAGACCCATGAACTCACTCCTGGTCATTTTCCTAGACCCAAGACTTCACTGTGAAAACGGAAAAGGTTTTGCCCATGGGCTACCAGAAAAAAAAAGTCCTTTTGGCCGATGGGACTCGAGTCACCGGAGAGCACCGCCCTAGATGGTCGGCGACTCCCAGTCCCCAGATGCCCTGGTTACAGCTAAGATTTTAGTTCTCGGTACCTTAGCATCTGACTGGCCATCGAATGAGCGCGTTCTGAGTGTGGGCTTCCAGACACATGAGTGCCACACATTTCCGCTGAAGGGGAGACAGGTGTGTGTGTGACAAGGATGCTGAGGGGATGTGAGTCCAGGGGGTGAGCAGTGCCACTTGTGGAATACAGTTTGCTAGACCTTGATGATGGAAGGTGGGGGGAGGGGCAGCAGACACTCTGACCTGAGGCCAGGCTAAGTCAAAGCTGTAGCAGTGTCTTCAGAGCTTAGACGAGGAGTCAGCTAACTGCCCAACGGAGGGACTTGGGGTGTGGCAGGTGGGGGTGGGGTCAGGCCAGGGAAAGCCATAAGCGATGTTGCCATGTGTCAAAGCTCGATGAGCTCTGTCCCTTTCAAAATCTAGGGACTGGTGCCCTAGAGCCTGGCTCTCCTTCCTTCCTTCCTTCCTTCCTTCCTTCCTTCCTTCCTTCCTTCCTTTTTTCCTTCCTTCCTTTTTTCCTTGCAAGACTATCCCCCAGCTGACCAGCCCTGGTCCTATTTCAGAGCACAGTCTCCACTCAGGCTGTGGGTAGAGCCTCCCACCCCTGCCACCGGCCCCACTCCCCACCCCCCACCCCCCACCTCAAACTGCAGATGTGATTGAATCATTTCTGCACACCGTTGCTCACAGGGCTCCCCAGAGATGCGCTACTTGCCTGTGCAAGCTGTCAGAAGATGTGTGTGCTCAGGGTGCGTCTGGGCCAGCAGCCCGTGTGTGCTCCAGAGAGTGCAGAGGGGCACGTAGGTGCATGAACAGTAAAAAAAAAAAAAAAAAAAAAAAACCTCTACCTGGTGGTGCTCAGGTGTGCTAGCCAGGCCTTTTAAAAAGGTAAGAAAAGAAAACTTGTTTGTTTACAAGACGGACGTGAGGTGCTCCTGCCACACTAGGATGCTGTAAAGGGCACCGAGTGCCCACAGTACAGTAAAAAAAAAAAATGCCCTGTCCCTGTGTCCGGGGACAAATCCAGGGCAGGCAGGGCCCGTTTGAGGCTTCTGTCTGCTCCATTCCGCCACTGGCATAGTTGCAGAGGTTGGCTTCTTAGTCCCTTCGGTTCTCCGCAGTTCATTCTCAGAGAGTGCACAGGGCTAGCTTGCCCTGAGCTTCCTGAGGAGATGACAAGTGTAAATAGAAGCTTCTCCCAACACGACCACCCTGGAAACTGGGAGGATTCAGCCTGGCTACCATGTCATCACCTTAAAAGCGTCCATACATGGAATGAACCCTGGCTGGGCATAGCTTCAAAAAAGACAGCATCCAGGCCATTGGGCCCATCTTGAGGGTGGGGCCCTCACTGACTTTTCGAAGCAGCAGGCTCCCCAGTTTGGGAAGAACCTTTGAATTTTGAAGTTGAGCGCTCCATTCCTACTGAGGTGGAGTTTCCCCGGGGCAGCAGAGCCCTCGGATGCTGGACTTTGGCCAGAGGATGGCTAGCCCTTCCTTCATTTTACACTTAGAGAAACTGAGACCCAACTTCTTGCCCTGTTCACACAGTTGGGAGGGTGGCAGAGCAGGCGCCCACCGCAGACCCTCCCAGACTAACTAGGAAGGCTTTTTTTATTTTCCCCACCGACAGAGACAGCGGGATAGCCAAGGTCCCTGATCGGGCCCACACCTACTCAGAGGGCAACAGAGTGGAAGAGGCTAGCAGGCATTGCTTTTGGTTGGTAGAGAACCCTGCCACCTTCCTGGGGGGTCTAGAGCTTCAGCCACTAAGGGTTTGTGAGGACTTCTTAAGGCGCCTGGAGGCAAGCACTGCTGCATGGTGCTTCCGTGGCAGTGGGGCGACCTCTGCTGGCTGCCTGGCGCTCACCACTTCCCAAACCACAGGGTGCTAAGCTTAGATTCTGGGGCGGCCTTGGAAACAACTGACTTTGGATGGGGCGAATGGAACAGGGGCATCTTTGGGGGCCCAGTCATGGCTTGAGATAGGAATATACTGGAGACTGTGGCCTCCAGTCTTGGAGGCATGGAGAGAACAGCATATTAATGGCTAGAAAGGCAGAGGTTTCCATGTTAGCCCTGCCAGCGTTTCACCTGTAAGGACTGAGAAAACCAGCCGTGCCTCAGATCTGGGCTGTCAATGAAAACAGTAGGTACATAAGCTAGACTGTCCCCTCCATGTCTCTTTTTTTTTTTTTTTTTCCTGCCTAATGCTGACCTCCCCTCCGGCCCTGGACCCTCAGCTTTCAAACCGTTTCCCTTTGCAGTGTGGAATTCCGCTCTCCACCATTGACGCCAGTGGTTTTTAAGTGACGCCTGGGCTAAGTACAATGGCTCAAGAAGCTGAAATAGGAGTGTCTTGAATCCAAGGCCAGCCTGGGCTATATAGGAGGGGGAAAAATTAAAAGAAGCATATCGCATGTCATCTTACCTTTGTGGTCCTCTGTCTTCAGCCAGATGCTTTATCTTTTAAGTAGAAACACATGATAGCTAGGAGTCTGTAATCCCAGTGGTGGGGAGGCTAGAACAGGCCCATGAGTGTGAGACTAATCTGAGCTACAGTGAGACCGTGTGTATCGGGGGAATCACAGGGACAACAGTGGTTTCTTCGCACATCCTTCCTGGCTGACCTGGCCTTGATTTTTCTGAGTTCCTTTGACTCAGTATCCTTGTCCTAGTCAGCTTCAGAAACCACACCCTTTTCCCCCTTTAGGTGTATGAGTATTTGCCTGAATGTATGCATGCATGCATACATACATACATACATACATACATACATACATACATACATATATGTACCACGTGCGTGCCTGGTACCTGAGGAAGCCAGAAGAGGGTGTCAGATCCCACAAAACCAGAAATATAGATAGTGTGAGCCATCATATGGCTGTTGGGAACCCAGGTTTTTTTCTGCAAGGACAACAAATGCTCCTAAACCATTGGAGCCATCTCTCCGGCCCCCAACATCGCATACTTCAAGGGACCCTGGCTGCCATTATTTGCCCACGTTTAAAGTAAGATGATCTCACAGCCCCTCAACTAGTGCCAAGAACCAAGATAACCTGGCAGATTGTGTGCCATTGACCTACTTCTGCTCTGGGCCTCCCCTGTGGTTTGTCCCTGACCCCAAGAGCCTTCCTTTGTCACGTGAATGCTGACTGAAGCTCTGTGAAAAGTGTGCTCAGGAGACAGCCTCTGCTTGGCAGACCCCTGAAAATAACCGAGGTGTTCTGTACCCTTACCAGCCTCCAGCAAAGGACCCCCCCCTCGGGCACTCCCCAGAGCCTGTTCCATAGGTTGGAAGAGGAAAGCCAGGATTCTGCCCTGACTCTCACAGGACCAGCTGTAAACTGAGTCATGGTTTCCTCGCCTACAATGTGGGACTATTGCAGTAACTGTGTGGGGATGTGGAGATGGATGGATGGATGGATGGATGAATGGATGGATGGATGGATGGATGGATGGATGGATGGATGGATGGATCAATTGTCCTAGCTGGGTTATTATTACTATGATGAAATACCATGGCCAAAAGCAAATTTGGGGATGGGGGTGTTTACTTAGCTTATATACACTGCATTACAGCCCATTGGGGGAAGCCAAGGCAGGGGCTGGAGTCACAGGAGCTGATACAGAGACCATGGAGGAATGCTGCTTAATGACTTTCTCCCCACGGCTTGCCCAGTTTGCTTTCTTATAGAAGCCAGGGCCACCAGCCCAGGGATGGCACCACCCACGAGGGACTGGACCTTCCCCCATCATTCACCAATTTAGAAAATGCCCCCACCTGCTCTTCTGCCTACAGCCCAATCTTACGGAGGCAGTTTATTTATTTTTTTCAACTGAGGCTCTTTCCTCTTAAATGACTTTAGCTCGTGTCAAGTTGACACAAAACTACTCAGGACATCGGCGAACAGATGGTCATTGAAGTGAGAAAGAAATGATGGGCAAGAATTGGGTGTCAGGGAATATAAACACTTGAAAGTACCAGGACAGGATGGCAGGACGAGGACAAGAGAAATAAATACAAGCACAAGCCTCACTTTTACCTGCTTGCTGGAAAACTCCAAGATAAACCTGGGCACCCAGGGCCCCTCTAGGACAAGACTGCGGATGCTGAAGGCTGTGCGAGGCTGTCAGGTGTGGCGCCACCCAGTGACACCCTCTCTCCTCTCTCCTCTCTCCTCAGACTGAACCACGTTCATGGCTCTCGGGTAGAACCCCAGCGAACCGGCCAGAATGAATTCTATGGACAGGCACATCCAGCAGACCAATGACCGTCTGCAGTGCATCAAGCAGGTGAGTGTGGCTGGTAGGGTGGGTGGGGGGAGGCGGGGGAGTAGGTCTGTACTGCTGCAGGATGGTGGTCCCTGAGTGCCAGCCTACCCCCCTGGGCACACATACAGGAATGCCACACCGCCTCGCCCCCTCCTCCCAGCTCTGTGACTTTGGGCTAGTGCCCTGCCTTCTCTGGGCTTGGCTTCCACGCTCTGAGCTGCAGTGAGCATACAGTGAGGTGTCTAACAACCTGGTCCATGTTCCGCCACCTCCCTTCCCAGACCTCCGCTCCCTGGCTCCCTGCTCCAGCTGTTTGCTAACAGCGATGGGAAAGGGGTCTGGTATGATGACACATTGGTGTAGGGGTCCCCGAGCACTAGGTAGATGGAAGCAGGGAGGTCAGGAGTTCAAAATAATCTTCAGCTACATAGTGAGTTTGAGGCCAGGATGGGCTATGTGAGACCCTGTGCCAAAAGGTTACAAGGAAAGGGTCTGGGAAACGAAATCATTTTACAGAAAAGGAAACTGAGGCACAGCTTCAGTGGAACAGAACACTGCTTCAGTGGTGTTGGCACAACTTCATCCTACAGTGTTGGGGGCTACTATGCTGACTGAGCCCCAGAGGCAGTTCACCTCCAGCACCCCTGGCATGGGTTGTTGCTAAGCAGGGAACCCCTCACTCGACAACCCCCACCCCCAGAGACGACTAGAAGTGGGCCTGCCGAGGACTGTAGAATCTCAGGCATCACAACCTAATCAGAATAGAAAGGCAATGGTTTACATGCACGGATGACAAATGTGTCTGCTGCGTGGACCCTGGCTGGTGCAGGCTGTGGCTCCCACCCTGGGCCTCACAACCTTGGACTCCCGCACCAAACCCTTCCAGCATAGCCTTCCCAGACACACTCCCAGCCTCCAGCAGTCCCTGGCATTGGACACCCCAGCACCATGCAGCCCTTCCCTGCGGCCCTCTCGGTTGGCCTCCCCTCTCCTTTAGCCTGAACCAAAGCTTCCCCTTCACAAGGTGCACATCTCGGTGCCACAGGGAGAATCCTAAACTGCAAATCAGTTCATTGTGGCCCAGCAACCTCTCCAGGCCCTAGGCAGCTTAGGAGCATCAGCACACCCTGTGCCTGAGCTCAGGGGCTTCTTGGTCACCCAGTCACCTCACCTGTCCTGCTCCCTTCCTGAGCTGAGACAAGAGGTTCTCAAAGTCCACAGTGCCCTTCCTGGTGCTCAGTCCATCCGGGGTAGGTCCGTAGTACTTCCGGTGGGTGCAGAGGAAGGGGGACCAGTAAGTGGTTCTGTAAGAGGATGGTGGGTAAATGGGCATATGGCTGGGGAGTTACATGAGTGCGTAGGGATAGATGATAGATTGGTAGATGGATGAATGGGTGGCTGGCTGGCTGGATAAATTGGCTTCTAGATGAATGGACAGATGAATGAGTGGATGGGTAAGGAATAGATAAAAGTGATTAATGGGTGAATGGGCAGATGGGCAGGTAGATATATGGATGGATTTGTTCTGGATGGATGGATGGATGGATGGATGGATGGATGGATGGATGGATGGATGGACACATAGATGAATTGTGTGGCTCACGGAAGGACTGGTGGGCAGCTGGGAGCCAGCCCTGGTTGTAGCATTGGTGTGCCCAATTCCTGCCCACACACTCAGCGATCATGGGGGTAGCTTCAGTCCCCTGAGGAATTGTAGAGATGGGTGGGTTTTCTGGTGAGAAACGGCACTGGAGTCTGGGACCAGCCACTGCTTGGAGCCTTTGCCAGTGATTCGAAAATGTGTTCCTCTGTTCATCCTAACTTTTCCTCCCTGGGCCGCTGGGATCCCTTGTGAAGTGGCCAGGTAGCTGGCCTCAGTAGAGAAGCTATCATTAAGGACAGTTGGACACCCACCCATCACTCCTTTTGGACCTCACTTTGTGCCAAAACAAGGAGTGCCTAAGAAGCTGCTTCTATCCTGTAGATTCTAGACCTAAGAGAAGTCCGTAGTCTTGACAGAAGAGAGGCCCCTGCATGAGAAGCACCAGCTGCCTCCAGCCATACCTGCCCCAGCTCTGTAACATGCTTACCCCACACTTCTATACTTAGCCACATCCCTGCAAGCTGCCACCACCACCCCCCTACCTCCACCTTTCATAGATGAGGGCTCCGAGGTTCAGTAATGTCCTCGGGGGCTGCGTGACTCCATGGCAGGGATTTGGGCCAGGTGTGCACTTTGCATGTCATCAAGACACCGTCTCTCTGTGTACTTAAGCCATAATGGGGCTGCGAGCAGCAGCTAGAGCAGAGAGAAGGGCCTCCGCTGAGGCCACAGAGCTCCAGGCAACAGCCAGCTAAGGGGTGCTACTGTTTACCTCATCTGCGAGATGCATCCCATAATGAGCCAGCTGTGACCGGAGGGGAGGAGATACAGGCTGGCAAGATACAGAAGGCTGGTGCTCAAACAGGGCCTGAACAAGAGCAGGCTTGGGGGATCAGCCTCAGAGGCCATCCTGGAGCTCAGATCTCTAAAGGGCGTTAGCTACGGCCACCCGAGAATGGCGTGCGGAGGTTGCTGACACTGCTGATCGGTTGTGACATCACATAAATAAACAAAACACCTGGTTGTCAGGCGCAGTGCAGGCCGGAAGGAGCTGCTGGGCTGCAACACTCCCATCAGAGCCCCAGTGTTCCCTGGGGCCTCTGGGAGGCAGATTTAGAAGTGAACGCAGAAACAGAAGCAGAGCCAGGCAGCCACCCTCCCAAAAAGGGTGTGGCTGTGTGTGAAGAGGTCCCTCCTGTCCCTTGGTGATCTTGTCTAAGGAGCTGCAACATTGGAGAGCCGCCAAGCCTGGGAGCCCCCACACAAACACAGCTGGGCTCCCACAGGGGAGGCAGGGAACCTCTGGGAGACTGAGGTGGAGCCAGGGGCCGCCCCGTGTGGAACCGCCCCACCTGCCAGGAGCTCTGTCTTGTTCAGTCCTCACTCAGCCCCCATGACACAGGCCGTTACTGCTCACTTGCCCTTTTCCCCAAACCCCCTGTTTCTCCCCCCCACCCTTCCCCTCTCCCCATGGAGAGGGATGCTCTTGCTCAGTTAGCTCCCCGACTCCCTCCTCACTGTAAGCCTCGCCTTGCAGGAACCACACTATGACAAAGCTCAAGGAGCTAAAACTCCCATGACCACACGGCGGCCAGTCATCACATCTTACACACCGATGACCCAAGCCGAGAGTGACAAAGGGACCGTCCTAGGCTAATAAGGGGCATGGGCAGAGTGACCGCAGAGCCCTGACCCCACCCAGAGGGGTTCCCATAGCCCTATTTGGGAATGCCAGCTCCAAGGCCCATCCTGCCTTGGCTGTGAATTAACTCATACCACGGGCGGTTTACAGAGGCCATCTAGGCCAGTGTGATCCTGCTGTCCCTACTAGCATCAAGCGTCCCCGGAGCTGATAGCATCCTGTATGTGTACACTTGGTTTCTACCAGGACCTTGGAGATACCCTGTGGGGCCATACCTACCTCTAGGCCAAGTGCCAGCTGTAAGTCACAGCTGTGACTCTAACTTGCCCTATGGTCCTGGTCTTCTAGTTCCTGGTCTTGGTGCCAAATGACAAGGACCCAGGAAGCCGTGGGTCAGTATTAACGGATAAAGTGAGATCTTTGCAACTTCTCCATGCTGGCAGCCTGCAGGCCTGAAGTAGCTCTGAAAGCCCCGGGATTCCTATATGTGAGGCAGGAGGAAGAGGCCCCCAAAGGCCCCAGAAAATCTGGGTCTGGGGAGCTGGGGGTGCTTGGAGCTAGGAACACTAAGCCACATGCACAGGACTATAGACAGCACGATGATCCAGGCACCATGCGCTAAGTCCCTCTCCCCTGACACACATAGGGAGGACCTGGCTGAGGTGCAGAGGGTGGGGGGTGATGGGTGGTTAAGGCAGACACCTGCAGGGCCAGCTGGCTTCAAGTATGGAGACTGGGGACCCCTCCCCAGCACCTTCATCCAGAGTGAGCACTTGGATGTCTGATGGCTCTGGCCTTTACCAGTCCTGGTTCTAGTCTTGGAAGTGGGTCCCTGGCCTCATCCTGCGCAGTGGGCCAGCCTCGTATGGCTGAGAGAGCTGGAGGCTCCGGCCGGGCCCCGGGGTGGCCTCCTCTTGCAGCCTCAAGCCCTTTTCCTTTTTCTCCGCAGCACTTACAGAACCCCGCCAACTTCCACAATGCTGCCACGGAGCTGCTGGATTGGTGTGGGGACCCTCGAGCCTTCCAGCGGCCCTTTGAGCAGAGCCTCATGGGCTGCCTGACGGTGAGTCTCCACCCACCCCCACCAAGCACATTGGGAAACACACGCATGTACGGCCAGAAGCCCTGTCCACGTGCCGCCTGTCTGTGGGCCTCCGGGGCACAACCCCCCCATGCTGCAGGCTGGTCCCGCAAGTGCTCCCGACCCTGGGTCTGAAACGGAGGCAGTCTCCATGGGTTAGGTGGCTTCCTCACACTTACTGAGAAGCACCCTGTGGGGACCAGTACTCCATCAGAAGCAGGACAGCTCGACTTGTAAGGACTCCGCCTTCCTTTTCCCACCGCCGCTTGTCCCTCCATTTGCTGAGCATTTATCGAGCTCCTCTGTGGCCACCTATCCATCCACTCGAGAACACGTATGGAGCCCCCTGTTGCATTCATCCATCTGCTGCACAAATAAACCGTGACTGATCCCCCTCATTTATCATGTGTGGTCCCCTTTTGCCAAGTCCCGGGAACCCCATGACAAATAAAACTTTCTTAAGTTTTATTTCTTAGTAAGGGACAGCAGTGTGGAGAAATGACGGAGAAGCAGTGTCAGAGTGGCATGGACCTTTATCAGCTGAGAGTTAGGGGCCAGTCATGCAAAAAAATAAATAAATAAACACACACACACACATGCATGCGCCGCTGTTCGCCAAGCTGCTGGCCACAGCCAAGTCCCCAGGCCCCAAAGCGGCGTGTGCAAAGGCCCTTGGTGTCCAGAAAACGGGGTAAGGAGGTCTCTAGGATCCACACTGGGCAGGATCTTAACCCTGAGGCCCAGAACTTGAGACCTGAGAGAAGTACCCGGGGGTCTTTCATAGTTTTCAAGTGTTCGCCGAAGCCATGTGGCATCTGCATTTGAAACTGTGGAACTGGTGAGGACAGTCCTTGGAAAGGCCTGTAGTGTGGGCTTGGAAGGGACTGCGTGGATCGCGCAGTGGGAGCCTGCATGTCCTGGGTACGAAATGGAGGCGTGGCCAGGCAGGAATGGTGTCTCTTCAGGAGCTCCATACAGGAGGGAGGCAACGAGCCCAGTTTAGCTCTGCCTTAGGAGAGCAGAGATGGTGACCGCATTGGGCTCCCTTGTTCTGACAAAGGCTGAGCTGCTGCCTGAGTCACATGCCACCTCCCAGAATCCACCTGTCCTTGGAGCTACCCATTTCACAGAGGAGGAAGCTAAGACTCCACGCCGACTGCCATGGCACCAAGACTTAAAAGCAACTTAGTCTCCAGCTGAGGCCCGCCTCAACCTAGAGGGGCATTCCAGTTCATTGGTAACACGGCCCAGACCCTCCCAGGGCTCTTCTGTTGGAAGCTGGCCCATCTGTCTCACTCAAGCTACCTGCATGGCCCTGTCTTCCTCATCCCTCAGCCTCCAAGCTCCCCTCTCCTCCCAGCTGCCTAATCCTCTTTGTGGGATCTGGGTCCAGCCTAAGTCCCATAGAGAGGGCCAGATGTTGCCCAGGCCACACAGTTCCCACCCCAGTTTCCTGTAACTGTAGTGAGAAGAGAGGGTGGGGGGCCATGCACATTATATCATCAGATAAACTAATACGCTTCCCCAACTAATACACCGCCCCAAGCTTGGGCCTGCCTAGATCATGGACCTGAGTGAGATATTGGCCCTGGCCAGCCTGGATGACCAGGAACTAGCCCAATCTTGGCTTTGTCATTCAGCAGACATTTACCAAGTCTCTGTTGGTAAACACAGTTCTCAAGGAAGAACCCACAGGCCAGGAGAACAAAGCCTAAGTGTGTGTCATCCCGGAAGGGACAGGTTATGGTGGCTAAAAAGCAGGAGATTGAAAGCTGTGCTGGAGTAGGGACGGGAGCTCTGAGGGTCTGTCCTTGGAGTGAGCAATAACGCAGGACTTCCTGGAGGAGGGGCTCCCCCCAGAGGACCCCTTGAGATCTGCCAGAAAAGGTTATGTCTTTCCAGGCAGAGGACACTGTGGGCGGAGGCCCTGGGTCAGTTTCCTGGGTGCTCTTGCTGGGTCCCCACAATAGAGCATGTGCTTGCCCCTGTCCTCCAGCCCCTCTACTGCCCCCCCCCCACAAACACGGTCCCAGCGGCACAGCTCCTGAGAGCTCAGGAGATCCTGCTGCAGGAGGAAATTGGAGAGGGGACAATCACAGAAGTTGACCTTGGCATCTAATCTCTTTTCTGGGCCTCCATCTCTGTGGTATCTAAAGAAGAACTTTCCAAGTAGGTGGGAAAGCAGCGGGTCACCATCCTCACCCCACTGCTGCCTACAAGAAAGGATGAATGCAGGGCAAGGAGGCTAAGCCCTCCCCTAACACACAGGCGCACACACACACACACACACACACACACACACACACACACACACTTGGGTCCATCCCAACACACACACACACACACACACACACACACATGCAGGCACGCTTGGGTCCCTCCCTAGCCAGGGGCAGCTAAGCCTGCAGGTTGACACAGTTTCCTAGGTGACCTCTGAGAGCTGGCTCCAAATTCCTCCAGATCCGGCTTACTTTGAGGATAGCAATTAAAAACCACTTAGCTGCAGGCAACAAATGGACGTGGAGGGGTTGCTGCTTTATTTTGCTTTTTGCTTCTCTGCCACCAAATTCTGAGCTTCCCAGGCTCAATTTACATGTGAGGCTCTGGGACACAGGTCACCTGAGCCAAGCCCTGCAGGTCTGTCAAGACTCATTCCAATCTGCCAGTCGTGGGAGATTTGTACCCATCTCGCAGGTGAAGTAACTGAGGCCCAGGGATGACTGGCAAGGGGCACATGGAGACCCCAGAATCAGAGTGGTCAGCTGCAACAGCAGGAACAGATCCTCCCTTAGGCAAGTCCCCTCCCTATCTTGTCTCTGAGACGATGTTTTCCCCTCCCAAGGTCTAGGTGCCTGGCAGTCAGGCCCAGCAGAAGGTCAGCCTTATGCTAGCTGGCTTCTAGCGTGTATGGCGTGTATGCAGTCTAGGGCAAGCGCTTGTCTTCGTGCCTAGGGACTCTCCACTGGAGTGCAGCAGGCCTCTCTGTGATACAAGCTGCCCAGATAGACACACCTTACCAGTGGACAATGGACCCTAACTTATAAGACTTTCTTGGGAGGGGGGCTCAGACTCAGCCAGGGGCTGAGCAGCGCTGGAGACTCTCTGGTGTCACAGACTCCGGCTTGCTGTGCCGACACTTGTGCTGCGAGATTTTGAGTAAAAACCCTTTCTGCAGCCAGGCGGTGGTGGCGCACGCCTTTAATCCCAGCACTCGGGAGGCAGAGGCAGGTGGATCTCTGTGAGTTCGAGGCCGGGCTGGACCGACAGCCTCCAAAACAATACAGAGAAACCCTGTCTCGTAAAACCAAAAAAAAAAAAACCTTTCTGCGTCTCAGCCTCTTCCACAACGAAGCATCAGCTTGAGCCCAGAGGCCCACCTGCATGTCCCACCTGGTGACACAGACCCACCAGCCTCGCCGGCCTCAAGTCCTTACAGCCTGCTTATGACCCCAGGCCACTCTTGCTCAACTCGGCCAGAATAACTTTTCCAAACCAGAGCGGCAAGACTGACCAGTATCGGCCAGGCACGAAACCTTTGCCTTACTTCCCTGACCCAGGGCCCAGGGACCTCCCTGGGGGTGGGAAGCTCTGTCTTTGACCCTTCATTGGCCAGACTACCTGGACCACGCACACGTACTGCACCCTTGCCCCCTGGGAGACAAGTTCTCAGGATACTACTAATGACACCAACGGTCTCCCGGCATCGACCTACCGAAGTATTGCACCGGTCCAAACACAGTGACTCCACAGCTGAGCTCTCTGATGTCCCCCTAGGCTTGTTGTTCCAGAAGTCACTCAGGGCAGTGGGGAAGGTTCTGGATTTCCTGGACTGCAGCATCTAAACTGTAGCTCAGAAAGTCTAGAACCTTCCCCTACTTCCCGGAGTGCCTGCCTACAAACTTGAAAACCTCCCTCCACAAGCCAGATTGTATTAAAGATCTGGGCTGAAACAGACAGTTTAGGAGACTCCACCCTAGGTGGCTAGAGACTTAGAGACAAATATAGGGCCAGAAAGAGCCTACGAGGAAGAGACTGGGGAGCCGGAAGAATTTTGTTTGCATCAAAAGCTAAGCAAACATCTGAATGTGAAATTAGCTGCCTCCCCTGATCCTGGCTGACACTGGCCCTGCAGGACGTTCCCACCAGAAGGGACAGAGGGTCCAGAGCTCTGATCCAGCAGGTACTGGTAGTCCTGGGAAAGAGGACTCTGTTGGCTCCTCTCTGATTCTGTGACATCCATGTGGCCTTCTGTGTCCCTTCAGTTTAAATGAGGAGATTAGAAAGTCAATCGTGGGGATGAATGTGTGTGCAGTCTCCGCACTCAGGAGCATCACACGTTGGAAGCCAGACTGGGCCACAGTGACACTCTCCCCAAAGAAAGAAAAGACAGGATGGGGGATTAAAGGAAAGGAGAAATGAACCTCACGGGCGTGACTGAAAGGTTCCTCTCTTGTGGCAAGTCCCCAAAGTGGGCAGGGAGAAGTGACTTACTATTGTGATAGCTCTGGATACCCGGATAAACCCGCTGCAGCCTGAGGCCCCCCATCAAAGCAGGTGCCCCCCCAGAGACCTGAGGACGGACTGAGCCTCCCTTCCTCAGCAGCAGGGGCTACTGCATCTGGGAAGACTCCTCCCCTCTCAGCCATGGCCTCCCCAACTGCTCTCACTTCATTCTCCAAGCTCCTTCCTTGCTAACAAGGAAGCATCCTCTTCCCCCACTGTTAATGAGGTGGGAGTGCAGAGCTGGAATCAGCAGCAGGTCACCCAGGGATAGGTCTTCCTGGGACAGTCAGATGGGCAGGGGCCTCAAAGGCCTCTCCTTGGGGCCTAGGGCAACCCGGTTCTGCACAGCAGCCCCCAAGGCTCCCATCTCTCCAGATGGGTAAGATTTGGGGCTTCCTGAAGGGCCTGGTGCTGAGTCAGAACCCCAGGCCAAGCTGCAGACTACAGGGGTCTGAGTTTCTAGGCTGAAGTGTGATGATCTGCAGAACCAAGGAGATCATCTGGTCTGCCCGGTCCAGGAGCTCTTGACACACACCAGGCAACTCCGCCTGTAAACTACAGGAAGATCAGTAGATCCCAAGTCCCTGCTTCTCAGGGTGTGGCTGTTGAAGCAGAATCATGGGGGATACATGGCATTTCCAGAACATGCCCAGGATGTGCTCATGCCTGGGGACAGTAGAGGCAGTAGGCACCTGCAGAGGTAGAGGGGAGAAACTCAGACGTGGTAGGGGAGGCCTGAAGGGAAAGCGGCAGCCTGGGCCTGGGACTAGGGAGTTAGGCTGAGGAGCCCTGGGGTGATACAGAGTGTCTATCTGGGGCCACTTTAGCTACCTCTTCAGCTAATGGCCAGAAGGTGGCCATTCAAGCCATTGAAAGAGACCCACTAGAGTCCTAGCTCCCCCTAGCAGCAGGCCCCTGCCCTAGCCTGGCTGTTTCACCTGCTTCCTTATGAAGTGTTGCATGTGTTCCCACTCAGGCTCAGAGCTCCGATAAATTGGTAACTCACCCTGGATTTCCTCTTTTCCTGCCGTCAGGTTGTCAGCCGCGTGGCTGCCCAACAGGGGTTTGACCTGGACCTGGGCTACAGACTCTTGGCCGTGTGTGCTGCCAATCGAGACAAGTTCACCCCCAAGTCTGCTGGTGAGTACTACGCGGGGCTCCACGGGTGGAGCAGGAAGGTTGGAGAGAGCCTCAGCTGGTCTAGAGGCCGTGCAAGCCTCTGAGAATGAATAGCTGAGTCATCAGCTCGAGGGCCTGCAGATGGGGCTCAGTTCTGTGTGTCTCCCAGCACAGGGGCGCCACAGAGCTACCAAAGGTTCCCAGATATCCCACCCCACGTCATAGGCACTGTGCTGAAGATAGGTCAGGCCTCTCCTCATTCCCTCACTGCATAAGCCTGGTGTTATCTATCTCTCCAGTTGCACCAGGGAGGAAACTAAGGTTCAGAGAAGCCAAAGAATTTTTCCTGGCCACAGAGCTATGTATAGCCAGGACTGTACTGCAGAGGTAACATGTATAGTGATCCTTACACACCACTCACTAGTTCATACATTCATTCATTCATTCACTCACTCACTCACTCCCTCACTCATTATTCAAAACCCACTTATTGCAAACAAAAATGAACCTGTCCATCTAGCATTCCTAAAAAAAAAACCTTTCCTGCAAAACGTTGTCTATTGAGACTTGGCCGCAGCCTGCGGCTCCTGAGCCCCCATCTTACAGAGGCTAGGGAAGGTGCTGTCCTTCATTCTGTCTTGGGGGGAACGCATCACAGTTACTGGAACTAGGGGGGCAACTTGGGCAAAAGAGATGGACCCCCGGTCTCAGTTTGTTTTCTTTTTTAAGATCCACTGTTCTGCCACCGGTCTCATAGGGGTGGTTAGGCAGCAGGTACATTCGGATTCTAAACCACACAGACAATTAATTGACTTTGTCTATTCTGCCCTTACTTGAGTGTATGGTATGATCTCTAGACCTCAGTTTGATCTCGTCGGAAGGCAGGAATGATACTGGGACTCACCTTGCAGGGATCGCGGTAAGTTCTAGAAACACGTAAAGCTCCCAGTGTAGCGTCAGGATGATTCTTTATTGATTCAGAGTAAGTGGATAAGTAGCTATAATGTGTGTGTGTGTGTGTGTGTGTGTGTGTGTGTGTGTCGGGGGTAGGGTGTGTGTGCGCGCGTGCACATACAGATGTGCTGTAGGTTCGAGCTCTGAAGGAAGAGTCTAGGGGAGATTGGGAAGTGCAGACTATACTGGGTCAAGGGAAGCTTCCCAAAGTTAAGAAAGAGTTGAACGTGTGATGAAACCAGGGTCGGACGCCTTCACGGGTGAAAAGGGCATTCTGTGCAAAGGTCCTGGAATGTCCCCGGGGGACAGGGCTTTGTGTCAGAATCAAAACAAGGATGGTGGTTCTGAAACCTAGAGGCGAGAGCACGAGGCCAGGGGAAGGGCTGGCGGAGTTGATGGAAGCTGAGTCGTGTAGGCCCTGTCTTAAAAGTTGTGCTCTCTGTCCTGCGAGCCATGGGAACATGGTTAAAAATCTCAGTCTGAGCCGGGCGTTGGTGGCGCACGCCTTTAATCCCAGCACTCGGGAGGCAGAGGCAGTCAGATCTCTGTGAGTTCGAGGCCAGCCTGGTCTACAGAGTGAGTTCCAGGACAGCCTCCAAAGCCACAGAGAAACCCTGTCTCGAAAAACCAAAAAAAAAAAAAAAATCTCAGTCTGTGACAGCCATTTCTGCTAGCACAAGGGACAAATGGCATGGGGCAGGGGTCAGTGTGGACGCAGGGGCCAGCAACACATCTGTGGGGAGACCACTGGGGCATGGCACCGTCATAGAGTGCTTACCTGGTGGTAAAACACCCTGGAGGGCTAGAGAGATGGCTCAGCAGTTAAGAGCACTGACCATTCTTCCAGAGGAGCCGGGTTCAGTTCCCAGCAACCACATGGTGGCTCACAACCGCCTTGAATGGAATCTGGTGTCCTCTGCTGGCATGCAGGCAGAAGACTGTATACACAATAAAATCAAACAAACAAACAAACAAAAACCACCCTGAAGAGTAAACTTCCAGATAACCCTCTCCTATCAGGAACGGAAGTCGGAGCAGGAACTCAAGGCAGGAACTCAAGCTAAGGCCGTGAAGTGATGCTGCTTACTGGCTTGTTTCTCCTGGTTTGCTCAGTGTGTGCATTTGTCTGTACAGTCCAGGACCACTGGCCCGGGGATGACACCTCCCACAGTGATCTGGGCCTTCCCACGTAAACCATTAGTCAAGAAAACGTCCCACAGACTTGGCCTGCATGCCAGTCCGATGGAGGCGTTTTCTCAAGTGAGGTTCTCTTCTTCCCAGATGACCCCAGCTGTGTGACGTTAGCAGAAAACTCACCAGCACACCCAGCATGCATGAGACCCTGAGTTCCACCTCCCTCTCGCAAATAAGTAAATGAATAAAATCTGGCAAAACCAGGGAAGAATATGTCGGCAAAGAGCCAGTGAGAGAATGGGCTGCTCTGGAAGCCAGAGCTATTCCTTAGTGTGGGAGGCTGGGGGCTCAGGTCTTGTAAACCCTGGATCTCTTAAACCCCTCTCCTGTTGGCTCATACGGTCATCTGTGGAGTGCTGAGGCCCTCAGCTCTGTGAGAAGCAGAATGTTACCTGCATTTATGGGTGAGGACGCTGTTCAGAGAGGTCATGTGACTTGTCTGCAGTCACACAGCTCATAGATGATCTGGCTGGGACTAGGGGGACTCCAGCCTCCTCTGAGGACTTTGCCGGCTCCATGGCAGCTGACCCCGGATCCGGCAGGATCCTAGACCAGGAGGCCTTTGTTCTCATCTGGGATGCAAAGCACTCCTTCACTTGGCCCAGGTCTCTCCAGCAGGATGCCACGTCATCAATCCTGAAGCAGGGATTTGTGCTCTCCTTTGTCTGCATACCATAGTGCAAGCTCACAGTGCACAGTGCCCCTTCCCGTGCTGGCCTAAGGCAAGGTGTCTGTCCATACTCCCTCGGCAGCTGGTCCCGTAGCATGCTGTGTCTCAACAGAAGTGGGGGGTCCCTTGTTGGGATTCAGGCCTGTCAGAACCAACAGCCCGGACTCGTTGCCTCTCCTAGGTGCGCCCTCCCCCCAAGAAGGAAGTGCATCCCCTGCATGGGAGGTTAGAGGCCAGTGTTAGGAGACCTCAACAACTGGTTTCTTTCAAGGGATGAAGGGTTTCCTGGGCACGGACGGGCTGGGTCTCTCAGCTGCCTTGCCTGCCTCCGAGGTGTGGTCAGAGGTTTGCCACATAATGGCATAGCTGCCTCTGGGAACTCAGAGGGCTCCCTCTCCATGTGGGCTAAGAAAGAGACCCAGCTGGTACCTGATATCAGGGCCACCAGTAGATGCTGCTTTCCAGCTATCTTTCTCTGTGTGTCTGTCTCCAGCGCATCCCCTGACCTCTTCCTTCTGCCCAAAAAAGGCACCGTTCTCCCCTTAGCTCTGTGGATGAGTGGGGTCCATTACTGGATATAATCTTCCCTTCAGGTGCATGTGGCTCTCCAACCCTCTCAAGAGGCCTTGGTCCTGGCACTCTGTGCTGAGAGCCTATGGTACTCCAGCAGCCCTCCTCCCTCCACCCCACCTCAACCCCCCCTGCTGTCATCCCCATTTGCCTGGGCTCCACTCTGTCTAGCTTGCCTGTGCAGTGCCCCTGCTCTTCCTCCCCAAGGGCCTCTGCTGTCTGTCCCTTCCTTATTGTTCTTATTGACTCTCTCTGCCTTTCTGGGCTTCTTTGCATCTCAGACTTTACCTCCACACTTGGTACATGTGTCTGGACATACTTTGTGGCCGTGATTGCGTACATGTCTTTATGTGAAGTTGTGTGTGGCTGTGTATCATACACGTGTGCATTGTATGCGTGCGGTGCTGTGAGCGTATTCAAGGCCGTCTCCCTGTGCATTCACGCCTGGTGTTTCTGGCTGTGTGCGTGTGTACGTGGGGTATGCATCTTTCTCTGTGTGTGGCTCTGTGTGTGTCATGCGTGCGTGCATACACCGTATGTGTGTAGGTCTGTGTGTTTGCATTTGGCATCTGCCTGTGTGCTCATGCCTGGTGTGCCTGGCTGTGCTGAGTGTGTGCGCATGTGTGTATCCGATGAGTCCTTCTGTTTATAGTGTGTCTGTGGAGGGGTCTTAGTGCGTGTAGACCTATGAGTGTGCACAGCTGTGTGTGGGCTCTGGGGGTGGTGCATGGCTGTGACTGCGGATGACTGAACAGCGTTGTGCGTGCGCAACTGGCTGCATCTGTGGGCGCCTCTCCCACCCCTCTGCCGTCTGTCTCTCCTGTCAAGAGGCCAGGCTGTCGTTCTCCCCCGGCCCCAGAAGGCCATGGAATGAGATCATGCTGTGAGGAGAGATGCTTTGTCAAGAGTGCTGGCAGAGAGTGGGGCTGTGTGCGCAGTTGTAGCTGTAAGCAGGGTGGTGACTGTGAGCAGGCTCAGGCCTGGGGGCAGCACTGTGTGGCACAAGCAAGAGAGAGAGAGAGAGAGAGACAGAGACAGAATGCAGAGCATGAGCAGAGCCCAGACACTACAGCAAGCCGCCCAGGCAGCTGCCTCCACGTGGGGCCCTCTGATGCCCAGCCCCCAGCTCTTTGTTCTGCTGCAGCCTTTAGCCTCTGAGCGCACGCACGCGCGCACACACACACACACACACACACACACACACACACGGGAGCAGGAGCACGCGTGCGCGCACACACTCAGCATCCTCATCTTGAGGCTCCTGAGGGGCCAGCTGTAACCCACACACACACACACCCGCCTACCCTTTCCTAGCATGGAAGGTCACCTGCCCAGCCCCCTGCACCTGACACCTCCCAGGCTCTCCTCCAAGGCTGTAGCAATGCCCACCAGCCCCCTCCGCCTCCACATGCCAGCCCAGAGTCACTTGGCAGGCTTTACTGAAATGTCAGCCTCTTCAGCACTCAGTGTTTCAGCCTTCTGGCTACATGGGTACGCGAACCAGGCGGCCGCCATGTCCGAGGTCCCCGAGAGTCCTCTGCGTGCTTCTGCCGGGGTTCATGCTTGAATAGGTCTATGTAGCCTCAGCTGATCCTCAGCAGCCAGCACATGTTGTAATAACAGACTAGAGAAT